TGATCCATCTTCCATGGAGGGGGGTTGCTCAGGAGATGGGACATGGGAGATAGCACATGGCTCCTTGGGGAGGACGAGCAAAGGGGAGGCCACCACAAGAACTCACTTCCTTCCACAATCAGTGTGTCTTCTTACCATTCCTATCCAGAACGGAACACCTCCCGTGACCCAACCCAGCCCCCTGAACCCCCTCCATGGACAGATCCCCCACATCCTGGGGCAGAAGAGGCGTCGGGGGCGCCAGAAGTGGCGGCCACCACAGCCGCAGCAGCCAAAGAGAGGCAAGAGAAAGAGAAAGCGGGCGGTGGAGGGGTCCAGGAAGAGCTGGTCCCCATGGCTGAGCTGGTCCCCATGGTTGAATTGGAAGAGGCCATAGCACCTGGCACTGAGGCTCAGGGTGGCGCTGGCACTGGTGGAGACTTGGGGGTGTCCCTAATGGTCCAGCTCCAGCAGCTACCACTAGGGGGCAATGGAGAAGAAGGGGGCCACCCCCGAGCCATTAATAATCAGTACTCCTTTGTGTGAGATACCTGCCCACCCTCCATTTTCCTGCTCCCAGCCTTAAGTTGTGAGACTGGGCTGGGTAGGGACACTGAGGAAAGTGGGAGTCCCCTCCCCACATGCTTCCTGACCCTTGTCATCCAAGGGCACATATGTTGGTACAAGTAGAGGTTCAAGAGCCCTGTTAAGTCCCCAGTTATTACACTACAGGTGCCCTTGCCCCGAGGCCAAGGACTTGGGCTCCATTACCTCCCTGAGGGGCTCTCATGGTCAGCCCCATCCTTGGGGGCTATTTCCCCACTAATAACCCCCAACCCAAGCAAGGGTGAGGGGGAAGGGCTGTCAGTTATATTAAGGTTGTTGTTGTTGTTTTAAACAAAATGGAAAAGCATAAATAAATAAAGGGTTTATCTTAGTTCCATTATGATGGCTGTGGCTAGTGTTTGGAGTGGGACCTGGGGCAGGTGAATAAAATTGTCTCCAGTGGCCAGGCAGTGGTGGCACACGCCTTTAATCCCAGCACTCGGGAAGCAGAGACAGGTGGATCTCTGTGAGTTCAAGAACTACAGAACGGTCTACAGAATGAGTTCCAGGACAAGCTCCAAAGCTACAGAGAAACCCTATCTTGAAAAATCAAAAACAAAAAACAAAAAAAAAAACCCAAACCCCCAAATCTGTGTCAAGTGGATAAGGCGTCTTCTGAGCTCACAGAGCTGGCCTGGGCCCAGTCCTTTTCACTCTAGTCTAAGGCCTTTGGAACCACATCTCTGTAGTTCACTTGGTTTGCAGAGCTCAACAGTTCTTCTTGGGGGGGGTCCAGCGTGTTTTCTTTTAGGGGTGAAGGTTTCTTTGAAGACAGTGGCTCTTTATATAACCAGAACTGTGATCCCCCGCCTCAGCCACCTGCAGCTGAGGATCACACTACCACACCTGCCGGCTTGTTCTTTAATGGGGTGAGACAGTGAAAGATGGATTTCTGCTCACCCAAGGCCTTTGCTATGCTGAAGTTTTTGAGTGAAAGCTCCCATCCTAGGAAGAAAGTAGGTAGAAGGCGCTGCAGTCACACAGCTGGAAGAACTTACTGTAGCAGCCCACGGCTGACTGCTGAGGCTCCTTTGTTAGAGCCTGGATGGCAGTCCTGGCTCTGGGTCCTGGTGCTGCCTCTCGCTGCTATATGGACCTGGGGGCAAGGCAAGTGGCTCTGGGCCTTGGCATCCTCCGTGAGATGTGAAATTTCATCTTAGTTGGTACTGCTGACATGACTTGGCTAAATGTTTGTCTCTGAGTTTATACATGTCTCAAGGCATTCCTTGAAAGTCACAGGTTCCAAGCCAGGCAATGGTGGTGCACACCTTTAAACCTAGCACTTGGGAGACAGAGGCAGGTGAATCTCTGTTCAAGGCCAGCCTGGTCTACAGAGTGAATTCTGGGACAGCCAGGGTGACACAGAAGCCTTGTCTCAAAAAAAAAAAAAAAAAAACAAAAAACAAAAAACAAAAACAAAAAAACAACCAAAAAAGAGAATTAAGAACTAAAGTCACAAGTTCCAGCTGTCTGGGTGTAGCTTCTACACATTCCCCATCTCTACTAGTTCTCTTCCCTGAGGTTCGGCTGCTGGCATGGGGTTTACAATCACTACCGCCACCACCAAACTCCCAGTTTTTACTATAGACCCTGCCCTGAATACATCTTTCAGCACCGTATCTATGCTCTCCAGCAGGGGTGCCCTGGCATCTCAATTTAGAGGTGGGGGCAGGGGTGCTAGAAGGAAAGTAGGATCTGAAGACTTGTTACCCTTCCTCCCTCCCCACTGTCTCGCCCCTCCCCCACCTGCTGGGCTACCCTCCCTCCCACCTCACCACTGACTCGCCCCCTCCCACACCTGGTGTGTTACCCTCCCTCCCACCTTACCACTGACTCGCCCCCTCCCCTACCTGCTGTGCTACCCTCCCTCCCCCACTTGCTGTGTTACCCTCCCTCTCCCCTCCCACCTGCTTGCTACCCTCCCTCCCACCTCACCACTGTCTCGCCCCCTCCCCTGGGAAAGTGGAGTGGCCGATCTTCTGTCCCTCAGCCTGTGTCCCACCTCCAAGAGGCCCTACCCACGCTCATGACCTTGCTATTCTGAGCCCTGCGTTGGTTCTGTGGGGAGATGGACAGGAGACAGCTGAGCTCATAGGCTATCTAGAGTGGGGGTTGGTTGGGGGAAGCCTGCTGGCTCTTGTTTTGTTTTACCTCATCCCTGGGGCTCCCCAAATCTTGGCCTTGAATAGGGATTGAATTGGCCTGTTGTGGAGGTTGGGCGGAGGGCAGCTTTAGACCTGTGCTGTGTTCTCCAAGTGAGACTGTTAGACAGCCAATGGCCAGTGAGGCCTGTAACACCTCAGAGTGGGAAGGTCTGATCCTTCTCTAATCCCATGGCAACTGGCGTTCAGATGCTCCCCACCCCCATGCCCTGCCACCTTCAGGGACTTGCCATCCTGCAGTGGGCAGAAAGACACCCCCAGACTGCCATGTCCTGGTTACAAGAGCCCAAGAGACAATGAGATGCCTCTAGGTTTTTGTGGACAAAAGGATGGGCCAGGCTCTGCCTTCACGCCCTTCACGACCTGCCCGCTCCCTCTCCTCCACCTCAGAACTCAAGAACAAGAACACCTTCAGTCTTGGTGTAGTGGGGTGTGGTCTGGAATAGCCTCATCTGCTCCCTTTCCACCTCAGGTCACAGTGCGGTGAGGTAGGTATCCCTGGAGCTCTGGACTGGTAGCTTTCTGGCCTTCATTTATCTATCTGGGAAGCTGGAAGAGGCAGACACAAATAACCTCAAAGAGCCTCTTTGGCAGGAGTGTCCTGTAAAGCCTGCCTTCTTCCCTCAGTCAACTCCTTTGAAGCTCTCACGTCCCTACTCCCCCTCGCCATGTTTGGGCATTCCTGCTGCTGGAGGACAGTGGCCCTGTGGCTCCTGTCGCTCCTCCAGCTGCGGCTGGGGAGAAGCCAGCGAGGGCCCCAGCCTCCATGGCTGCTCGCCCTGCCTCTGGCTGGAGATGGAGGGTCCTGGGCCAGGTGGAGATGCCCGTGGATGTGACCCCCTATATTCCCACCCCATTGTCTAAGCCCCTCCACCTCAGGTCACAGCAGGACTCTACTTCAGGGGAGGGGCTTGTGGGAACTGTGAAAAGAGGGCGGGAAGGGACACCTTGTCCTCATTTCACCCTTCCCCCAGTCTGGGCAGAAGGCAGGATGGAGCTGAGGTTCAGTCCTTCATTTCTTTCTATTCGTGTTGGCCACCCTGGCCCCAAACAAGTGGAGCTTCTTGTTCTTCCGGGCTCTGCTTCTTGTATTGTTTGTGTGCTGGAGCCCTGGTGTGGGAAGTGCTTATTGGTTCTTTTCAGGGAAACTGAGGCCTGGGTAAACGTGGGACCTGCGCTCTAGGGCTGCAATGCTGCCGGCCCTCACCGATTCCCATGGAAACTTCTCTGCCTCAGTTTTCATCCTGCTTGCATCCTGGCTTATGTACCTTGCCTGCTCCTCCAGCAGTTGCCTTGGTGGAAACCAAAAAATGCCCCAGTGGTGAACCGGGGTTGGGAAGGGTGGTGCCGAGCAGCTGCTTTATCAGGGGAAGCTGACACCCAGACCAGCCCTACAGCAACAACTTGTGGCTTTGCACCCAGCCCCCGGGGCCACGCCCACCTGACTGCCACTGCCAGCACCCTGCTGTTTCTTTTCCCTCTTCTCCTCAGACATAGTCTGGGCCACCTCTGCTCCTACCTCAGTTCTGTGCTCCTTCATCTCTACCCCTTCCTCCCTCTCTGGAGCGTCTACTTCATCCAGCTTCAGGGGTCCTGTGCCCGGGCACTGTGGCATGGGACAGGCCCGGCTCCAAAGCACTCCTACCACCAAGCCTGATCCTCACTCCCTCTGTGGACTGTTGCATCAGGCCCAGAGCTGCTGAGACCCCTACACCTCTGGAATTAAAGGCCAGTGTGGGATGAGGAAATCCTCATTCCCCTGCCTCACCCTGAAATACTTATCCCTCCCCTCTGCCATCAGCACATTCTGTAGCCTCTTGGGTTACCTGACTGCCTGGGTGTCCCATTTTCTTCAGGGGGGGATTCCCTGCCAGTTTCAAGGGGGAGCTACAGGCTGTGTTCCCAGAGGCTGAGCTACCGTGGCGGGGGGAGTGTAGGAGACGCAGACGGTCCTGGCTTTGCTCGCCAGGGCCTGGACACTAAATCCCTTGTTGATGGCGGCAGCAACCCCTCCCTAGGGTAAGGTTACCATCTTCTGCCCAGTTCCCTTGACCACCTCTCTTCCCTACTTCCCCTTATCTCTCTAAAGCCACTTCCTCTGCCCCCCAAAGATGCTCTCCCCTCTCCTTTGAATCCCCTTGGAGCACTTCCTCTATCCTCTGCACACAATAGGCAGGGAAGAGGACTGACTGTGGGAAGGGGCTCAGGATGGCCAAGATAAGAGAGGCCTGAGGGGCCATGAGACCTGAGGGCAGAGGGGTGTGCTCAGGGTGAGCTTGGAGTTGGGCATTTAATGTAACTGGGAAAGCTGAGGCACCTGGGGGGCAGGGTCAGTTGCAGATAACAGTAAAATGGCTTTATTCCCTGCCCCCCCTTCCCTGGGGCTGGGGCCACCCTTATGAGTGACATCCCAGGCTGCAGGCCCACTGTTCTTCTCTGTCAGCAGAAATCTCTCTCTCTTCTGACCCCTCCTGCTGGGGTCTCAGCCAGCCAATCCCTGATCTGGGGGAAGGGGGAGCCTGGCCCCCCCCACTCCCTCATAAGGACCAGCTGGGGGCTGGGGGGGTGGCCGGCTGCTGCAAGTGGGACTGGGGTCAGAACTTTGTGGAAGGAGGAAGAATCTGGGGGGGGCAGGCGAGAAAAAGGAAGGAGCCCAGATCAACAGGCAGGTGGACACACGGAAGACGTTCCCCCTCCAGTGAGAGGCCCCTAAGAAGGAATACATCGCCCCCTGGGCCCCAAGAAGGGAGCACAATGGAGGCCGCACACTCCAAGTCCACAGAGGAATGTTTGTCCTTTTTTGGGGTGAGCGAGACCACAGGCCTTACCCCAGATCAAGTTAAGCGGCATCTGGAAAAATATGGCCCCAATGGTAAGTTTTAAACCCTCAGAGGAGAGGCGAGCATGGCTGCCCTCCCACCCCGCTAGTGGGAACTGCTTCCTTCGGGGTCTGCACGGATGAGCGGGGCAGTTGTTGGCTTCTTGCAGGAGGGGCAGGATATAAAGAAAACAGTTTTGCCATCTGGAGTTTGGGGAGGTTTTACTGGGTGACCTTGAACTTCAGATGCCCTTTTGATAGCCTGAGTCTCTTAGCCTGTCAAGTTCTGGCTGTGGGGGACGTGAGGCTGAACCCCTACTAAATTTGTCCTTTTCTTTTTTCCCCCTGAATAGAGCTCCCTGCTGAGGAAGGTAAGTTATCTGAGCCTTGAGCCCCTGCTAAACGACACCCCCGGTGTGTGCCCCATTCCCAGCTCCCTGCCTTCTCCTTTCTGAGACCCACAGCATTACCCAAAAGGCAGATCTCTTCCCTAGAGCTCAGTGTCAGACATCTCCAGATGCTTTTTCCTTGAGACTTCCCAGCCTTGAACAATTGCCACAGATCTGAAGAGCCTTTTTGGCTGTTTCATCTTTCTCTCGCATCAAGCCAGGCTGCCGATCAGCCTAGAGGGTCAGGGCAGACTAGACTCTGGACCCAAGCCCATCCAGAGCCATAGACCCTCATCAATTTTAGATTGTAAGCCCTGGGACTTCTTTTCTCGCCCTCCCCCAGGCAAGTCCCTGTGGGAGTTAGTGGTGGAGCAGTTTGAAGACCTGCTGGTGCGGATTCTTCTCCTGGCGGCCTGCATCTCCTTCGTGAGTGCCGAGGGCATTTGGGGGCTCTGACCATCCTAGGTGCCCTGGGCCAAGCCCTGAACACCCTGTTTTCCAGGCTGGAACTGGGGGTGGGGTGCTGATTCGCTTCCTCCCCTGCAGAGAAGTTTTATTTTAAGCCCTGAGAGCGTTCTCAGCCAAAACACTGAAGCTAAGCCACCCTCCCTAACCCGAACCCTCCCTGCTTCAAGGGCTTCAAGGGCTCAGGTTACCCCCTAAGCACAGGGCTCCTAGCTTCGATGTGGGATGCAGCATCCACTGTGGGGGCCACTAGCATTCCCTGCCTGTCCTGGTTGGTCCTCACTCTGTTTCTCCAGTCCTGCCCCGCCCTCTCCAGCTTGTGATGCTGATTGGCCAAAAGAAAGGCTTGCTTGGAGAAGTGGGGAAGGTGTTGCTGGTACAGTGGTAACCACCAGTGTGCCTTCCAGCCCCTTCGACCCTCTACACACCCACCCCTCAACTGTCTCCAGACTTTACCACATCCTGCTTCCATTAGGGGCTGGCACGTGGCACCTACTTCTCTTTACCCAGCCTGATTCATCCTTACCTCTTGGTGTCTCCAACCCCTCAGAGCCTTTGCTATATCCCATCCCCTTGGGAACATCTCCAGTGTTCACAGCCCCTGCTGCTGGCTCCTGTCACCCACTGGTCCAGCAGTCCATCTTGCATTTTAGAATTCCTTTAGCATCTTAGCTGGAAAACAAGGCCTAGGAGGCAAAAAGCATAAAGCATCCATGGAGGCCCCACGCACCCTTGCGTCTAAGCTGGCAGCCTCCCTTCTCTCTCCTCAGATTTGCTCCTTGACATTTGCCTGTGGCTGCTGCCTGGCAGTGGCAACAGCTGGGGTGGGGTGGGTGCTGGAGGCCTGTAACCCTACTCCCCTCCTGTTCTCTCATGAAATTGGAGCTTCCATGCCTTGCTAAGGGAGGGCTGTGGGTGGGCTGGGCCCTTCGAGGACCATAGGGATTTTCCTATTGGGCTTGGGTCCCTGTGGGATGGATATGGCTGAAGGGGTAGTTGACCCTGGGTGTTCTGGGAAGGTTTGCTTACAAGCCAACAGTTTGGTCAGGGATACCTGAAAGCTTTCCCGGTTAGTGCGTGTGTGTCTGCACTGCCTATTTGTACAGCATCACAAGGATGGCTGGGAATGTGTGTTCAGAGTGCTGCAGAGTCCTTACACTCCTATACATCGTCTGAGCTCTGCAGCGTTCTTCAAAAGCCTTCCCATTTCTTTCTTTAGTCACTGGGGCCTTTGTGATTCCCCCTTCCCTCTCAGGTGCTGGCCTGGTTTGAGGAAGGCGAAGAAACTGTCACGGCCTTTGTGGAACCTTTTGTCATTCTCTTGATCCTCATTGCCAATGCTATCGTGGGGGTTTGGCAGGTTAGTTCTGACTCCTCCTCCCCGCTTGGGTCTCAGCACTGGGCCAGGGGCCATTCCTCCTTCCCATCCCCTCCTCCTCCATCATCTCCCCGTCTGTGCCCACTCCTCTGGTCTTCTCATTCAGTTGAGAATAAGCCAGAAAAACTCATGTTTACTGCGTGACCCCGAGGAAATTCTCCATTCCCGAAGCCTTTTTTTCTCACCTGGAAACTAGGAATAGTAAGCTATGTGTGCTGGCACACACCTACAGCACTCCAGAGGCAGACACGGGAGTCCTAGGCTAGCCTGGACTACAGTGTGAAATTCTGTCTTTAAAAGAAAAAAAAAAAGCTATGCAAGGTTGAGCACACTTGTAATCCTACTACAAGAAGGAAGGATGGAAAGGGGGTGAGGTCAGGTGCGGTGATGCACCGCCTTTAGTCCCACAGTTGCAGGGGAGAGGCTCGTGGATGTCTGTGAGTTTGAAGCTAGCCTGCTCTACATAGAGAATCCCAGGCCAGGCAGGGCTACATAGTGAGTCCATTTTGAAAAGAAAAGAAAAGAAAAGAAAGGAAGAAAGAAAGAAAGAGAGAGAGAGAGAGAGAGAGAGAGAAAAGAAAAGGAAACAAGATTAATAACTGTGTTCCTCAGGCTTGATGCAATTGAAAAAGAACATGAAGGTTCATGGCACATAGTAGGCACTCAATAAATACTAGTTTGATTTCTTTCTTCCTCTGACATTGCTGGTTTACTTTCCTTGTCCCTTGCTTTCTGTGTTTGTTTTGTTGTTGGTGTTGTTTTGTTTTTGTTTTTACAAATTCCTTTCTTCTTGGTCCAAACCCTGTTTTTAGCCACTGGCGATGTTTTCTAGAACAGACACATCCCTGTTGTGCTGACGGGTTCCTCCGTCCACCTCTTGTGCTCGCTGGACCTGCATGAGCCAGCCTTTTCTGCAATGTCCTCTCTGCTAGGATCCCAATTCCGGTTCCTCCATCTGCATGTCCCTCACCCTTCCTGCATGACCCAGAGCAGCCTCCTGCGGGTCCAGGACCTTCCTCCCTCTCTGACTCCACTCTTGTCTGCTGTCCTCCTCAGGAACGGAATGCAGAGAACGCCATCGAGGCACTTAAAGAGTATGAACCTGAGATGGGGAAGGTCTATCGGGCTGACCGAAAGTCAGTGCAAAGGATCAAGGCTAGGGACATCGTCCCTGGGGATATCGTTGAGGTGGCTGGTAAGGGCTGGAATGGGTACTTCAAGGGGAGCAGCCTTGGGTCTGAGGCCAAGAAGAGAACAGGGGACCTGACAGCCCCGATCCTGTATCTCTGAGGATGGTGGTGTCTTTGCTTCTCCTTCCCAGACTCCTCAGGGGTCACTCCGGGACAATTCAGGCCACAGCACCCCTCCCTACTAGAGTCTCAATAGGAACAGCTAGTCCTGTCCCTGAGGCAGCAGACAGACCCCCGTCCCCCCTCCCCTCGGCCAACACTTGCAAGCGACAGGTGGAAGCCAATCCCTGCCAATGGCCCCATCTCCACCCCTTCCCGAGCCTGGCTCCCCTCTCCTTCCACCCACCACAAGCTTGGTCAGCTTTCAGTCTTGACCCCTTAGTGCCCTTGAGGCTTCTCAAAGGGGGAAGGAATGGGAGTAGAAGGGAGGGGGGTGGAGTGGGAGGGGGGTAGACGACTACTCCCACCACCATGTAAGGTAACTCCTAGTCCTCCACCAGCTTAGAGCACGGGACCTGAAAGGAGGGCGCTCAAGGAGGGCCCTGCCCCCTCAGGGACACTTAATGCCGACTCAGGGAGGGGTGGGGCTGGCTAGCTAAGATTACTGGGATTCTGCCCCCTTCAGCGCTTTTTATATTTGCCCCTAGCAGGCCTTTCCACCTCCTTAGGCACCTAGTTTGGTGAAAGTGTATGTCGTACCATGTCACCCTCTATACCATGTTACCACCAGGAGAAGCCCAGGGTGGAGAGCTGGTGGGCTGGAGGCCCCATAGCCCCGTCCCAGGGCAGTCCTGCTATGGTGACAGTTTGGGGTCAGTGCCATGAATGTCTATAAATACTACTCGGGCTTCGGTGACAAGGGTGTCTGCCTGACTCCGTTGCTGACCCCCTCCCTCCTCCTGCTTCCTCTGGTACTGGCGGAGGGACCTTAGAAACCAAGAGAAAGGAAAGCTGGTGAACTTCGCCCCAGTTCCACCCATGAGACCAAGGTGGCTTTAGGCCGAGGCCCGAGGAGGTGTGTGTCTGTCCCCTAAAGGGTCTCTAGTCTGGCAGAGTATCTTCCTCAGCCCCTGCCAGGGTGCTTTCACAGTCTGACTTCCCACTTCCCACGGTCAGGAATGCGCCCTCACACTTCCTCCCGACCATTCTTCATGCTCCACTCTGGGTCTCGCTTGGCCTGGATTTTCCCAGCATCCACCTTGCTCTCCAATCCTCCCAGTCACCCTCTTTTTCTCTGAGTTACATCATTCTTTACCTTTCTCTTGTTTCCCTTTCTCAGTTTTAGCTGGCTTGTCCCCAGTTTTCATCTCAGTTACCAAGAATACATTTAATGAATACACACTACACGCCAGGGATCTTGGGAGCCTCCCTTCGCAGGCTTGCAGCCAGTGGGAAGAGAAGCATTTAGTGGGGGAACACTAGGATAGTACCTCTGGGGTGGGGACGGAGTGGGGAGTCTTGTGCTGAAGGCCTATGAGCAGCCGAATGCTGTAGGGACTGAAGGATGGATGGTGGGAGGGAGGGAGGGAGAGACTGGGAAGGAAGGAAGGAAGGAAGGAAGGAAGGAAGGAAGGAAGGAAGGAAGGAAGGAAGGAAACTCCATTCCCCGCTGAGCTTGCTCCTCTCTCTACAGTGGGAGACAAAGTCCCGGCAGATATCCGCATCCTCTCCATCAAATCCACCACCCTCCGGGTCGACCAGTCCATCTTGACAGGTAGGCTGGCGCAGATGGGAAGGCATAGCGAGGGAGGAGCCAGGCAGGCAGCCAGACGGAAGGTTTCCGGTGGATGAAGAAGGGCATCTGCAGTGGGGCCTCTCTTTAGTTCTGAGGTAGCATCATCAGTGTGGCTCAGTCTTCATTCTGTGACAAGGGGCATGAGAGAGGATGTCTGTGGCTATTTCAGTATAGTCTTTGCCTTACACCTTCTGCGTGGACACAGGAACTCACCCCCTACCGCAAATTGTCCTGTCCTCTCCAGCATCCTGAGAAGTCCTCAAATGAGGGATTCTAAGATAGGGTGGGGGCTTTGGACCCTTTAAACTCTGGGAGGGAGACAGTGTAAACTGGACTCACAGCAGGAAGGCCTGAGCCTCTGTCCTGGGTGAGGACTCCACACTGGTCGGCCCTCAGGAATGGGCTGTGCAGGTGATAAATGCCTCACAGCCGCTGGTTTGTTTGGTTTTCACCGGGACATGGGGAACAGATGGAAGGGAAGCGATCGAAGTCACACACTAGGCCTGGTCGGTGTCTTTTAACTCTAGAGGCAATGGACTTCCCACCTGCCCAGTCACCTTCCTCTAGAGGCAAGACTGCCAGAGTGTTTGCCTAATGATTGCAGAGTGTCAGAATGTTAGGGACAGAGACATGATGTCATCTGAAAACGCTCTGGTCCTTCCTCCATAGGAGAGTCTGTATCTGTCATCAAGCACACAGATCCTGTCCCTGACCCCCGAGCCGTCAACCAGGACAAGAAGAACATGCTCTTCTCAGTAAGCAGTCACATGACCACTTCTCAGTAAGCAGTCACATAGCCACTTCTCAGTAAGCAGTCACATGACCAGCCAGAGGAGCTGGGTGTGGAAGAAGAGATGAGGCCCCTAGCCTGTGGCATAAGGAACATCTCTTACCTGACCCTGCTCCTTCCTCACCTTCCCAGGGTACCAACATTGCAGCCGGCAAGGCCGTGGGCATTGTGGCCACCACGGGTGTGAGTACTGAGATTGGCAAGATCCGAGACCAGATGGCTGCCACGGAGCAGGACAAGACCCCGCTGCAGCAGAAGCTGGACGAGTTTGGGGAACAGCTGTCCAAGGTCATCTCCCTCATCTGTGTGGCTGTCTGGCTTATCAACATTGGTCACTTCAACGACCCTGTCCATGGGGGCTCCTGGTTCCGGGGGGCCATTTACTACTTCAAGATTGCTGTGGCTTTGGCTGTGGCAGCCATCCCAGAAGGTAAGGCAACAATGTTTCAAGATAAAGTAACAATGACGGGCCATGGAGAAGGTCCCGATAGCTTTGGTGGCTGTGATATATCAGCCACACTAGGTCTCCCTCCTCCTGGTTTGCTTACACCAGCTCTATCCCCATAGGGCTTCCTGCTGTCATCACCACCTGCTTGGCCTTGGGTACCCGCCGGATGGCAAAGAAGAACGCCATCGTGAGGAGCTTGCCCTCTGTGGAGACCCTGGGCTGTACCTCTGTCATCTGTTCTGACAAAACAGGGACCCTCACCACCAACCAGATGTCGGTCTGCAAGGTGAGGAGACGCACAGGCGGGGCGACAGGAGCCCTCTGAAGACCGGCTTCTGTACTGGTGTGGCCTGGGAACTTCTCTAAGGGAGATTGAGTGCCACCCTTAGATCAAGCCAAGAGCCATGTTAGTTTGCTTTCTCTTTCTGTCATAAAACCCTCGCTAAAACCACCTTGGGGAGGAGAGGGTTCAGTTGGCTGGTGTGTCCCTATCACCGTCCATCAGTGAGGGAAGCCAGGACAGGAACTCAAGCAGGAGCAGAGACCGGAACCATGGAGGAAGCAGCTTGCCAGCCTGCTTTCTGTTGCCCTGATAAACAGCATGACCAAAAGCAACTCTGGGAGGAGATGCTTCGTTTCCTCTGTAGCTTCAGTCCATCACTGAGGGAAGCCAAGGCAGAAACTCAAGCTAAGGAGCCTGAAGCAAAGACCACGGAGGAGCAGAGGAAGGCTGCTTACTGGCTTGCTCTCTCTGCTTTGCTTAGTATTCTCTCTCTCTCTCTCTCTCTCTCTCTCTCTCTCTCTTTCTGTCTCTCTCTTTCCCCTTTTCTTTTCTTTGATTTTTTTCAAGATAGGGTTTCTCTGTGTAGCTTTGGAGCCTGTCCTGGAACTTGCTCCATAGACCAGGCTGGCCTTGAACTCACAGAGATCCACCTGCCTCTGTCTTCTGAGTGCTGGGATTAAAGGTGACACCACCACCGCCTGGCATAGCCTGCTTTCTTAGACACCCCAGGATCACCTGCCTATGGTGGCTTAGGCCTTTGCACATCCATCATTAGTTGAGAAAATGTCCCTATGCTAATCTGAAGGAGGCAGTCTCTCTTCCCAGGTAACTCTAATTGTGTCAGGTCAACAACAACAATGATGACAACAGGAACAGCCATCCCAGTCCTCACCCCTGGGCTGTGTTTCTCTCTGATCCTCTACACTAGCCAATTCAGGGGCATTCTCTTTAACCTCACCTTTCCAGAAAGTAAACCGAGGCTTAGGGAGATTTAGGGGTTTACCAAAAGATACCAAGTTTATAAACAGCGGAGCCAAACATAGTGGTGTCTGTTATCCTTGTACTCAAGAGGTGAAGGTGGGGACATTATGAATGTGAGGCCTGTCTTGGCTGTGTACTTTAAGGCCAACGAGGCCCTGCCTCATGGAGTCTGGAGTCTCAAGTACTTGGGAAGTTGGGATACAAAGATTACTTCCATTGAGGAGTTCAAGGAACTGTGAGATTTTGACAAAAAAAAAAAAAAAAAAAAAAAAAAAAAAAAAAGTAGCAGAATTGAGTTCCAAACTCAAGAACCCACGGCTCTGTAGCTTCTGTTGTGTGGCTCGTACCCCGCGAGTGGCCATTTCATGACGGGGCCAGCCAGCCTGGCCATACTGGTCCTGAACAGCATCTCTTTAGGAAGTTTAAAAGTATTTATTATTTATTTCAGAGAGAGTGAGTGTGTGTTCATTCTCTCCTCTCACCATGCACGGTTCGGGGATTGAACTCAGGTCATCTGGCTTGGTGGCAAGTGCCTCTACCCGCTGAGCCACTTAACTGGCCCCTAAACAGCTAGCCAGCCCTTTCCCTTTTTCAAGGCAGGGTCTCTTTATGTGGCCTTGGCTGGCCTGGAACTTGCTCTGTGGTCCAGGCTGGCCTCAGACTCACAGAGCTTTCCTGCCTCCGCCTCCTGAGTGCTGGGACTAAAGGCATGTGTCATCATACCCAGCCAGTATTCTTTCCTAAAACCGGAAAAATAGATAAGATTGAAATACAGCTATCAAAATATTTTTATTTTTTTATTTTTTAATATTTATTTATTATGTATACAAAATTCTGTCTGTATGCCTGAAGGCCGGAAGAGGGCGCCAGACCTCTTTACAGATGGTTGGGAGCCACCATGTGGTTGCTGGGAATTGAACTCAGGACCTTTGGAAGAGCAGGCAATGCTCTTAACCACTGAGCCATCTCTCCAGCCCCTTAAAATATTTTTAATTTGGCACTATCTGTTTCTTTATTCAAAACAAGCCCTGGCAGTGGGTCTAGTGTCTGAGTGCTCCCCAGTATGAGGACTCAGGAAAGCCAGGGTGACAGACAGGTGTCTGTGGTCCTGTCCTATAAAGCCACAGCCTGGGTTTAGAGTTTTTTTTTTTTTTAGATTTTTTCATGTTGTTTTTAAGGAGAAATGGCTGAATTAAGTTTTGTAGATGCCAGCATTCCATCAGAATCACTTGGGGTTGGTTTGTCTTCCAAGGTTGTCTTGACCTGCTGGTCTCAAGTGATCCTCCCACACCTTTAATCCCAGCATATGGGAGACAGAAGCAGGCAGATATCTAAGTTCTGAGTTCGAGGCTGGCCTGGAACAGAGCCAGGACAGCCAGGGCTACAGTGGATACCCTGTGTTGAAAAACCAAAAACCACCAAACCAAACCAAAAAAAAAAAAAAAAAAAAAAAAAAAAGAATTTGAGGTGGGATCGAGATGAAGTGGACCGTGTAGGCAGAGTGAGTCGCTGTCCTGAGCATCATGTCCTTCACTTCTCTCTAACACACAGGTTTCACAGCCAGAACACAGTCTTGTAGGATGTGGCTCCTGTCTCCCTATAAAAATGACAGTGTCATAGGAAAAGGAGTCAGGAAGCTGCAGCACTATTGCTGGAGCTGCATATGGAGCTGCTGCTTGCGGGTTCATTGGCCCCAGTCCCCACCACACCCTGCTGTACATATCTGTGAACTGATCTGGAGAAAGCCTAGCATAGCCCTCAATAACTGGTTTTTAAGGCCACTGACAAGGAACATGGAATCACTGTAAAACCCTGGAGTGACAGGGACCAGCACAGGTCAAGGAGAACTGGGGGAAAATGCTGGGGCCTTCGCTTAGTCTGAACTTGAGGACGCCTGCTCTCAGGGATGTGGATGTGGAATATCATCGTGTGGTCCTTCTCCCCCGCAGATGTTCATCATTGACCGGGTGGATGGGGATGTCTGCTCGCTGAATGAGTTCTCCATCACTGGCTCCACGTATGCTCCCGAAGGAGAGGTGTAAGTCATCCAGGAGTCTCCCCCGTGCCGTGTGCGTACCCCCACCTCCCTCACTTGGGATCTCCTGCAAGTCCCCCCTTCCTTTTCACTCCCTTCTTTCCCAGCCTGGTCTCTCCCACCCAGTCTTCCAAGTTCATCACCATCCTCTCTTTTCCGATACCTGTCCGCTTCTCTGTGCTGTCTGCATCTCACATTCTGTTCTCCACCGTTTCTCTCCTGTCTTCCTTCCTACCTTGCTGCCAGTTTGAAGAATGATAAGCCAATCCGAGCAGGGCAGTACGATGGGCTGGTGGAGCTGGCCACCATCTGTGCCCTCTGCAATGACTCCTCCTTGGACTTTAATGAGGTAACCTTCCACCCACAAAGTCACCCCTTCTATTCCTGTGGCTCGGTCTGTGCTTCCTGGGCATTCCAGGAGGAAGGGGTCTTAGGAAGCGAGCGTACATTCGAGGGAAGGAGGCAGTTGGCTTCTTCTTGTTCCATCCAGATGAAGATGGGGGTGTTGGGTGAGGACGGGAGATCCAGGACACACTTCCTCATCCTCCTCTGTCTATTTTAGACCAAAGGTGTTTACGAGAAGGTAGGCGAGGCCACGGAGACAGCCCTCACTACCTTGGTGGAGAAGATGAATGTGTTCAACACTGAAGTGAGAAGCCTCTCGAAAGTGGAGCGGGCTAATGCCTGCAACTCGGTGAGTTGGGGTGCCCTCTGCAGGCCTGGACCCCAGATCCAGCCAGACCCAGACAGACAGAGCCTTGTGATTGTATAGGGACGCCAACTAGGTAGGCGGTGGCTTCACTCACAGCTTTTCCAAGCCAGGCTGAATGCTGGTGAAACTCCTTCCCTCCATAGTGATAGGGTTTCTGTTGTCTGGCCATAACATCCTAGGTCACTTCCTTTAGTGACCCAAGGTTGGGCAGAGCTGGACAGAAACCATGGTGTCGCCTGCGGGGTTGGCCCTGAGTTTAGCTAGAGTGCTTTGGTTTCCATCAGATCTTAGGTCTTGTTGGGGGGTCTGGACTGTGCAGCCATCGATCCCACGAGATGAGGTCTTCTCCGGGGGACAAAGCCAGCGCTACCACTCAGTGGGCTCTAGCTGTGAACACTTGCTGGTTTCTGAGTATTAGTTACTTATATCACTCTTTCTCGACATCCTGCTGCCTCAGTTTCCCCACTGCTGACATTAACAATGTGTACCATCATGGCTGGCTTTCCTTCATCTCTTCCTATAGGAAGTGCAACCCAGAAACTTACATGTGCTACACAAATGTTTTTTTAAAATATTTATTTATTTATTATGTATACAATATTCTGTCTGTGTGTGCCTGCAGGCCAGAAGAGGGCACCAGACCCCATCACAGATGGTTGTGAGCCACCATGTGGTTGCTGAGAACTGAACTCAGGACCTTTGGAAGAGCAGGCAATGCTCTTAACCTCTGAGCCATCTTTTCAGCCCACAAATATTTCTTTTTCTTTTTTTTTTTTGTTTGTTTGTTTCTCAAGACAGGGTTTCTCTGTAGCTTTGGAGCCTGTCTTGGAACTAGCTCTTGTAGACCAGGCTGGCCTCGAACTCACAGAAATCCGCCTGCCTCTGACTCCCGAGTGCTGGGATTAAAGGCGTGTGGCACCACCGCCTGGCTTAAATTTTTTTTTTATTGTTTCTTTAAATTTTTCCTCTCTGTATGTGCAAACTACACACTACTGACTGCTTTGTTTATTATGTCTTTGTGTGTGGTGAGGACATGTGATGTGTAACGGGGCGCTGAGTGTACTATATGTGTAGGTCAGAGAATTTGGGGGAGTTGGTTTTCGTTTTTCACTATGGGTTTCAGAATCAAATTTAGGCTTGTATGGTCATCAGGTTTGTGTGGCAAGTGCTTTTACCCACTGAGCATCTGCTTTATTTAATAATAACAAAGAGGTAAAAGTAATTTTTTTTTCAGTGCTAAGGATTGAGTTTGAGGCTTCATGCCTGCTGGGCAAATGCTCTTTCGCTGCCACCCCCTAGCTCTTGAGTTTATTTGTATATAGTGCTGGGGTTGAGCCCCAGCCCCTCACATGCTAGGTTTGTGCTTTACCACTGAGTAAAGCCTTGGTCCCATCCACAGTGTAGTTGGTATATAAAGGCTCTTCTTCTCCTTTTCCTCTTCCTCCTCCTCCTTTTGCTGTTTTTGAGATAAAGCCTTGCTGCACAGCCCAGACTGGTCTTGAGCTCACGGCAGTGCTCCAGCGTTAGTCTACAAGTGCTGGGATTACAGGCACAGCTCACCATGCTTGGCTGTGGCTCTCATTCATTTTTCACTGTGTGCTGGGCACTAGGCTATGTGTTATTTATATTCAAATTAGAGGTACATGGGAAACAGAGGAAGTACATGGGAGAATTACTGTAAGCTCAACACCAACCTGAACTATAGCGAGAGACCCTGTTTCAAAAAGAGCCATGGTCATACTGGCTGTTTCCCACGGGCACCACATCGGGTGGTGCAGACTACACTTCTTCGGTCCCCAAGGGTTCTGTTGGGTAGTAGCATGCAAGGCCACTCTGTTTCTGTTGTGCTTTAAACAGGACACCCGAACTTTGTGTGGCTCGGTGGTAGAGCACTTGCCTAGCATGTGAGAGCCATGAGTTGTATCCTCAGTACTACAAAACTGAAAATCCCAGTGGCCCACGGTGGCAGTGGAGCACACCAGCTCTGGAGTTTCTGTTTGTCACGTGGGTACCAGGCTTTGCTGTAGTCTCAGGCTGACACAGGCTCTACTCTGACATCCAGATCCTTTCAGACTGTTTTAAAGGGGTCTGGTCTTTACCTCCCAGGTGATCCGCCAACTGATGAAGAAGGAATTCACCCTGGAATTCTCCCGCGACAGGAAGTCTATGTCTGTTTACTGTTCCCCAGCTAAGTCTTCTCGGGCTGCTGTAGGAAACAAGATGTTTGTCAAGGTCAGAAGCCTTCTCTCTCTAACGTTGGGGCTCTTTCCTGTGCCTGCCTTCTGTATCCGAGAAGGCAGCTAGGGTCTCTCATGCCGTTCTGGTTTTCTAGGGTGCCCCTGAGGGGGTCATCGACCGCTGTAACTATGTGCGTGTTGGCACAACCCGTGTGCCACTGACAGGCCCGGTGAAGGAAAAGATCATGTCAGTGATCAAGGAGTGGGGGACCGGTCGGGACACCCTACGCTGCCTGGCCCTGGCCACCCGGGACACCCCCCCTAAACGAGAGGAGATGGTTCTAGATGACTCAGCCAAGTTCATGGAGTACGAGGTGAGCTGGCAAAGGTCTCTTTTCGTTTTGGGAATTGTGTCGAGGCGGGTTCCCCGATGGCTCCGTCTTTCCTGCCACCATCCTGCATTGAGTCGATGGCTGTGTGCTATGAATCCCCAGCTCACGGGACACTAAGGTGTGACAGTTTTATGAATCGGATCTAACCCAGTCCTCAGGGGACTAAGGTAGGCCAGCCTCCACCACACAAGCAACCACGAAAACAGAAGTCAAGAGAAGACAACCACTTAGCCCAGTACTGTCTTTGTGTGGGGCTGGGACGGGCACCCAGGGCAGACAGGTGTGTGGTGCCCCAGCTGCATCTGCAGCCACAGCCCACGGTAACTGTGCTCTGTGGAGCGGAGCTGGTACTTACCAGAGGGGACTCTGTCACCTGTGCAGTGTTTCAGGCAATGGATGCACTTCCCGACATAGGCTTCCCTCTTGCTGTGGACTCTCAACAACCCCAAAAGCTCACTGTCTGCATTTATGGGGGTGGGGTGGCATTTATGGGGATGGGGTGGAGACTCTGGCCTGCCAGCTATTGGGGATGTGCTCAGAGTGATGGGCCAGCGACAGGTTTGCTAAAAGGAGATGCTACCATGTAGTTTTTCTTTTTCTTTTCTTGTCCTCCTCTTTTCTTCTTGTTGAGACAGTGTCTTGTTATGTAGCCTGGCCCTGAACTCACTCATGATCTTCTCTTTACCTCCTGGGCGCTGGAATCACAGGTTACCAACCATGCCCAGCTTCAGCTCTCCTTTTTGTAGCAGGCCTTGGCATTGCCAGGATATGCAGGAGTTAAAGAAGGAGAAATGTCTCCTGCCTGTGCTTCCAAGGCCCTGCTGATGTCTAACACCAGGCCTCAAGGCAGCATGCTCTGGTTTTCCCAGCGTTGCTGCCCATCTCCCTCTGAACTTCCTCCTGTTTGTCCTCAATCCCTCTTTGTCCTGTCACCATCTTTTCCAGATGGACCTGACATTTGTTGGTGTTGTGGGCATGCTGGATCCACCCCGCAAGGAAGTCACAGGCTCTATCCAGCTGTGCCGCGATGCTGGGATCCGAGTGATCATGATCACCGGGGACAACAAGGGGACAGCCATTGCCATCTGCCGAAGAATTGGCATCTTTTCGGAGAACGAGGAGGTGACAGACCGTGCCTACACTGGCCGTGAGTTTGACGATCTGCCCCTGGCTGAGCAGCGGGAAGCCTGCAGACGCGCCTGCTGCTTCGCCCGTGTGGAGCCGTCACACAAGTCCAAGATTGTGGAGTACCTGCAGTCCTATGATGAGATCACAGCCATGGTAAGAAGTTCCAGAGGCCGTCTGGGCCAAAGCTCCGAGTGTCCCCATGCATGGAGTCTTGGGGAGGGGAACATAAGGCGTCTGGAATTTTGAGTTTCTCTCTTTCTCCTTTTGCCTTCAGACAGGGGATGGTGTCAATGATGCCCCTGCCCTGAAAAAGGCTGAGATTGGCATTGCCATGGGCTCTGGTACTGCCGTGGCTAAGACAGCCTCCGAGATGGTGCTGGCTGATGATAACTTCTCCACCATTGTGGCTGCTGTGGAGGAGGGCCGTGCCATCTACAACAACATGAAGCAGTTCATCCGCTACCTCATCTCCTCCAACGTGGGCGAGGTGGTCTGGTAAGTAGCCGGGGCGGGCATCCAGAAAAAACAGGGCTGAAAGGGGCGATCATGGGACTTGGAGCAGGACCAACATATGACCTCCTTCCTCTGGCAGCATCTTCCTGACAGCCGCCCTGGGGCTGCCTGAGGCCCTGATCCCTGTGCAGCTGCTATGGGTGAACCTGGTGACCGACGGGCTCCCTGCTACTGCTCTGGGCTTCAACCCACCTGACCTGGACATCATGGACCGTCCCCCCAGGAGTCCCAAGGAGCCTCTCATCAGCGGCTGGCTCTTCTTCCGCTACATGGCAATTGGGGGTGAGCAGGAAGGGACTCAACAACCCTTCTGAGCCCTTGGGACTGACCTTGTCCCTGATCCCAGCTTCTCCCGAGTCAAGCTGCCCAAAGGGGCCCCTTCCTTAGCCAGCTGTCTCCAGCTGTGTAAGGCTTGCCTGATACCTCCCACCAACTCAGCCCTGACCCCAGCCCCCCTCTTCTCCCCAACACAGGCTATGTGGGTGCAGCCACTGTGGGAGCAGCTGCCTGGTGGTTCTTGTATGCAGACGATGGGCCTCACGTCACCTACCACCAGCTGGTAGGAAGATGGAGCGGTGGGGATTGGGAGACATCCTGAAGGCTGTTGTGGATCTCAGACTTCTGTCTCTTCCTTTACAGACTCACTTCATGCAGTGCACTGAGCACAACCCTGAATTCGACGGCCTGGACTGTGAAGTCTTCGAGGCCCCTGAGCCCATGACCATGGCCCTGTCGGTGTTGGTGACTATTGAAATGTGCAATGCTCTCAACAGGTAGGTCCTGTCCACTTGGGTGGACCCTGCTACACCTTCCCGAGGCTGTTCTCTTGCCCTCCACCTCTCTTCTCCCACCACTCTGCCTCACCACATCTTTCTGTGTATCCCTGTCCCTCCATGTGCCTGGCCTTTGCCACAGCCTGTCTGAGAACCAGTCCCTGCTGCGGATGCCGCCCTGGGTGAACATCTGGCTGCTGGGTTCCATCTGCCTGTCCATGTCCCTCCACTTCCTCATCCTCTATGTTGACCCCCTGCCGGTGAGTCTTCTGTTACCACCCCTCCCCGACTCTAGGGAGCCCAAGCAGAACTTGTGACCATAGAGGAGGGCAGTTCACAGCAACCTGGTTCTTCTTTTCTTTCTGAGAAAACCCTTTGTCTTTCCTGATGACTGTTGTCTCCACCCCAGATGATCTTCAAGCTCCGGGCCCTGGACTTTACCCAGTGGCTCATGGTCCTCAAGATCTCACTTCCAGTCATCGGACTAGACGAGCTTCTCAAGTTCATTGCTCGGAACTATCTAGAGGGTAAGAGACACACCCCTTTTCCCTGGTACCCAGTCCTGAGCAGAGCCCCTGCCCTCTTGCGCTGCGAATACGCGCCACACCTCACACCTTCTTCCTTTGCAGGTGGGTAAGTTCTCTTAGGCCCTGGCAGGACCAATGTCCCCAGGGAGGGCAGCCCAAGCTCTGTCCCATTCCATGACTGGCGGGGTTTTCCCCCAGCCTGCTCAGCCCTCTGGCCCCGTGGGCCTCCTTCCCCCTTGATAACGGCCTCTCTCTGTCCTCTCTGGCCATAGGATAACCGTCCCCCTCCTCCATGTCTTTGAACGTGTCACAGGTATTTCCCTACACACCTTGCCCCAGCTGCTGTACCCTGCCGCTCGCCCACCAGCCCACGCGCACCCCTGCGGTCACTTGCGCTCGCAGCTCTCCCTGGAGCCACTGCTGCTGTTGCCACTGCCCGCTTCCACAGTAGGGCCATGCCCTTCCTGTGGGCACTGGCAGCTGTGAGGCTGCGTCCTGGCCTTCCAGTCTGCTGGGCTGCGCTGCGTTGCGCTGGCTGTCTCTGCTGCTGGGGTGGTGGTGGCTGGGGGCGGGCTAGGGTCTGGCACACACAGGTGAGTAGGGAAGGGGGCCGCAGGCCCCTCCAGGTGAGTGTGATGGAGATGCCTGCTCCATCCCCTTCCTTTCTTCTTCCAGATCCAGAAGATGAAAGAAGGAAGTAAACAGCCCTTTTGCCCTGCCGCCCCCACCCGCATAGCAATGCATCTCCAGCCAGAGCTGAGACACAGGCCCTTTTTCTCCCCCGATTCTGTGTATAAACAAAGTTCCCTGGCCCTCTGTCCCCCTTCAGCAACCTGCCCTCCCTCTGAACCTTGTAAATCCCCTCCCAGCCTCATGGGGCTTGCAGGGACAAGGCGACTGACTGAGCTCAGCTGCTTATTTATTCAAAATAAATGACAGAAAAGTCTGGCCTTGCCTCTGTATATTTCTGGTGCCTGTGGACAGATACCTTAGTGTCGTACAGTCCAGAAAGCAGCTGCGTGTCCCAGGGTCTCTGAGTGAGGAATCCGCTGATGACAACAGCGTCCAGCCACAAGCTAAGCGTGCCTCGGACCCGGACAGGCTTCTGGCTAGAGGTGGCAGGGCGGAAAGGCAGGATCCATGAGGCAGCATAGTAGCCTGAAAGCTACAGGGCTCTCAGCCTGTACTTTGGTTCTGGAAGGAGGCTGGGACCCTCATCCAGGTGTCATCCCTGAGAGCAGGTCCAGCCACCGTGGCTGGAAGCAGCGGCCCTGGTAACACCACCATCCAGACCTGGAGTGGGTGGGCTCCATTCTGAGACCTGTCCTTGTCTCACAGTTCTGGTAGAGAAAGAGGCGGCTTCCCCAGCAGGGAAGCTTCTCGCCTGGCCCCTCAGGAGTCCTTGATGTCCTTGATATCCCTGAGGGGTGCCTCATCCAGGATGCTATGCACTTGCTCCAGAGTCTCCGCTTGGCGAATCCGCTCCAGGCGTACCTGTGTGGTTGGGTGGGAGATATGGGAAGCCCCACCAAGCAAACAGCCCCTGGCTGACCAGCCAGCCTCTCAGGGGTCAGCTCTGCAGAGGCAATGTGTTCAGACGGGGTCAAGGGAAAGAACAGGTCCCACCTAGTAGCTTGGCCTGAGGAAGTCTGGGCATTGTTGGCCATTCATGTGGCTGACAACATAAAGCTGCCATGCAGCTGAGGTGTGCAAGAGAGCTTCCATGTTTTTGAGCAACAGCTTAGGGGGAAAGATCACGCCAGGTCTAGAAAAAGGACCTCTCCTAATTGGGGGCTACTCTTGTGAGACCCAGGACAAGTTACCCATAGCCAAACCAACCAGGTAGGAAAGGCCAGGACATACCTGTAGGGCCTGAGATAGCCGTACAAAGTCCCTTTGCACCTGTTCACTGGTCTCCAGCTCGGCTTGCAGCCGCAGTGCCTTGGCCCTCTGCTCAGAGAGGAGGTCTGTGAGCTGGGCCTGCAGGGACAAGATGCGGAGCTGGGGCCTGACTCCTCTTTGGCTAAGCGAGAGGGTGGATGGCCAGAGCCACGGGATGACCCTCACTGGTGTCCCTTCAATACCACCAGACTCTGGCCTCCTCTGGCTCAAGCCAGGTGGCTGATGCAGGGCTTCCTGGTCTGAGGGAGACAGGAAGGCTGTCAGGGTAGCATAACCACACAGCTGCATGAGCCAAGCCATGGCACCGGGTGCCACTCACCTTGCGCTGCTCTTGCTGGACCCGCTCTGTCTCTGTCCTCAGGCTGCACAGGGAGGCTGGGAAGTCAAGGAGCAGGGAGACTGAAGTCAGGCTCACGTGGTCCCAGCCCTGCTGGCGCAGCCCTCCACAAGGCGTTGACCCTTACTCACCCTGTAGCACATCTGCGGGGGTAAGACAGAGAGAGGTCAAAGCTGGATCTCCACTGCACCTCCTGACGCCCATGCCTGACTCAGGGGACCCTACCTGTCTCTTCTCGTTGCACCCTCAGCTGTCCCTCCAGGCTGGCCCTGGCTGCTGTCTCCTCGTCTAGCGCCTCCCGCAGCTTCACGATTTCAATGCGCAGGCGCTCGGCCTCATGCTCCTGTGCCTGTTGCCTGGCTCGCGCCTGTTGCCGGGTGTGCCGCACCAGCAGATGAAGCTCCTGCAAGACACGAGGGGTCTGCTGGGCAAAGGGCAGAGAGGAGGGCAGGGACTGCTGGCTGTACGGAGAGAGTAGGGACAGGAGGGAGGAGCCAAACACCACAGTCAGAGCGGTGAGCAAGCTTCAGAGATACAGTGAGATGAAGAGATGGGAGATCATGACTGCCCGTGCAACGGAGGACTTCCCACAACAGTGTGGAAAGTTCCAGAATACCTATAAGCAAGCTTCCAATCAACTCAAGTTCTCCATTATGTACACGATGAAAACTACAATAAAAGGAGAGCAGGGAGGGCTGGGGGGTCTGGCTCAGTTGATGGGTGCTCATCTAGCAGGCATAAGCCTGAGGTTTGATCTCCAGTGCCGTATAAAAACTGAGGATGGAGCCGGGTGGTGGTGGCGCACGCCTTTAATCCCAGCACTAGGGAGGCAGAGGCAGGCGGGTCTCTGTGAGTTCGAGACCAGCCTGGTCTACAGAGCAAGTTCCAGGAAAGGCTCCAAAACCACAGAGAAACCCTGTCTCGAAACAAAACAAAACAAAACAAAAAAAACCCCAAAAAACAACAACAACAACAAAAAAACCGAGGATGGTGCCAGGGTGGTGGTGGTGAACGTCTTTAATTCCAGCACTAGGGAGGCAGAGGCAGGTGGAGCTCTGTGAGTTCGAGGCCAGCCTGGTCTACAGAGCTAGTTCCAGGAAAGGCTCCAAAGCAACACAGAGAAACCCTGTCTCAAAACACACACACACAAAAACAAAAACAAACCAGGAAATGAAGAAATCGAAAATCAAAGACTGTGGGGCAGTTTCACTGAAGTGAAAGTGAACACTAGCGATAATCTTCAGGGTAGAGAGAACAACCAGGTGACCTTTAGTTCACGAACAAATTGTTTATAAACTAAAGTCAACACAGACCTCCATGGAGGACAGGTTCAAAGACTTTTAATCTTAAGGACCCAAGGTCACTTAAAAATAGCAAACAGTAGTTAGGCAGTGGTGGCGGAGGTGGATGCCTTTAATCCTAGGGAGGTAGAGGCAGGTGGATCTCTGTGAGTTTGAGGCCGGCCTGGTCGACAAGAGCTAGTTCCAGGACAGGCTCCAAAGCTACAGAGAAACCCTGTCTCGAAAAACAAAAACAAAAGCAAAAACAAAACAAAAAAATAGAAAAAAAACCAAAAAAGCAAACAGCACCTGGTGTGGCAGGGCCTGTGATTCTACACTCAGGAGACCAGCCTGTCTCAAAGAGAAACCCTGTCTCCAAAAACAAACCAACAAACAAGCAAACAAACAACATCAAGGGCTCAAGGTCTGCTTCAGTGGTGCAGTGCTGTCCAGGGCTGCAGTTAACCCCTTGCAGTGAGGGCAGTGCGAGCAGCATGGGGTGCAGTAAAAATGGCGGACATAATCACTGCTCCCTTCCTTGCGGTCAACACTTTTAATTCTTTATTTTCATGCCAACCGTGGAAAGCTGGTGTGGTTCTATTTATCAGGTGAAGAAAACAAGTCTTAGACACAGCTAATACACGAGGGCCAGGGTCCGTCCTCAGGTCCTTGGGAGGAGACAGCCGCAGGCTGGCATCAGGTGCTCTGGTGCCTTTTACCTGTATGGAGCTGGGCAGGGCCTCGCCCTCGTTCTCCCACTGCTCTGGGCCCTGGAGGGTGGAGGATGGCAGCTGCTCTGCCCGAAGCCCTTGGTTTTCTTCGTTCAGTCTTTTAACCTCATGGTGCAGGCACTTGTGAGAAGTGGCCAGCTCTGCCTGGGGAAATACCAAAGTATAAGGTGATCAGAGGGCTGTATCTCTAAGTCCCTGTGGCTAAACCCAGAGCCCCTGGTAGCCTGATATCTGGAAAGCCCTGGCTTCCTGACACCGCCCCCCCCCCCTTCTTTTTTTCAAGACACGTTTCTCTGTGTAGCCCTGGCTGTCCTGGAACTTGCTCTGTAGTACAGGCTGGCCTCAAGGGATTAATGGTGTGTGCTGTTACTGACTGGCCTAAGAAGAAACTATTCTCTCTCTGGCTCTAACCTCTTCAGATCCTGTCCCTGCTGACACTGGCAGCCACAGCCCACTGTGGGTATTTCATTTAGATGGCTTTTTATTGGGGCTGGAGAGGTGGCTCAGAGGTTAAGAGCATTGCCTGCTCTTCCTGAGGTCCTGAGTTCAAATCCCAGCCACCACATGGTGGCTCATAACCATCTGTAATGAGATCTGGTGCCCTCTTCTGGCCTGCAGGCATACATGGAGGCTGAACACTGTGTATATAATAAATAAATAAATAATCTAAAAAAAAAGATTTATTTCAAGTGTATGAACGTTTGCCTATATATTTATGTGCAGCCACATAAATGGTGCCCACATGGTGCCCATGGAGGCCAGAAGGGGATGTCAGATCTCTCGGAACTGTAGTTACAGATGGTTGTGAGCTACCACATGGTGCCCATGGAGGCCAGAAGGGGATGTCAGATCTCTCAGAACTGTATTTACAGATGGTTGTGAGCTACTACATGGGTGCTGAGAACTAAACCTGGGTCCCGTGAAAGGAGCAGCCAGTGCTTTTAGCCACCAAGCCATCTCTCCGGCTGCCCCCTTCCTTCTTTAGACAGAGTCTCACTATGTGTCAAGGCTGGCCTGAACTAGTGATCCTTCTGTCTCAGCCTTCTGAGTGCTCCACCTGCCCACAACACGTTCCTGCTTTTAAAGCCCAGGCTGGCCTCAAACTTGTGGCAGTCAAGGATGACTTTAAACTTTTTTTTTTTAATATTTATTTATTATGTATGCAGTGTTCTGCCTGCATGAGTCCTTGCAGGCCAGAAGAGGGCACCAGATCTCATTACAGGTGGTGATGAGCCACCATGTGGTTGCTAGGAATTGAACTCAGAACCTCTGGAAGAACAGTCAGGGCTCTTAACCACTAAGTCATCTCTCCAGCCCCCGACTCCAAACTTCTTTAAAAGAAATTTATGAGCATGAACGTTCGCCTTCATGTGGTGTGTGTATCATGTGTGTCCTGGCACCTGAGGCCACAGGAGGGCACTGGATACCCTGGAACTGGGTGATAGAAGCGAGCCACCATGAAGGTACTGAACCCAGGTCTTCTGGAAGACAAGCAAACGTCCTTAACCATGAGCTATTCCTCCAGGCCCCTCTGCCTCCATCTCCTGAGTGCGGGGATTACATGCGGGAGTATGTAATCAGTTTACATGGTGCTGGGGACTGAACCCAGGGCTCTGTGCATGCCAGACAAGCACAACGTGTTTTTAAAATTTATTTTTACTATACTATATGTGCATGTATGTTGGTGCCCATGCACTA